TTCTCTGATGGATCTGAGAAGAATTGTTGATTTTCAGTTTGCTTAGCTTTTTTCTTGTAGTGAGGACAAGAGTAATGACTTCCAAGCTGCGTGCCAGACCATAAACATATAGTCTGTTTTTTTCTATCATTAGTATGTCTTTTATTTTCATGTTTCTGTCTTTATACTTTTCCTTTATGCTGCTTTTAATTTTACAGTGTCCCAATTTACATTTAGCTTATTGCTAATCAGCCTTTTTTCTTTTCTTGGAATGTAGTTGTGTTTTTTCCTTTTGTAGGGCGTAAAGGCCATTGGATCCCTTTGGATCCTGTGCTTCTACATTGGGACTTGTTGAAATGGATGAGCATCTGAAATCTACATTGTTTATTTGCTGTCCACACCATAGTGTTTAGGAGTATAAGCATTCAGATATTTCTATTTTTTAATTGTTTTATTTGTTGTGGCTGCATGAAGTAGGCTCTGTGTAAGTTTTACCTAAATCACTTTAATTAACTGAAGGCGCTGGAGATGGGTATCTTAAAGCAAGAGTTATGTCTGAGAAAACAGAACTTTACTGGGAGGAAGATCTTAAAGTTGTCTGAATGGAATAGGGTATTTTTCTCTGTTTGCAATAATGCATAGTTGGGCTCTAGGGCATTTATATTGTTATTGTACAAAAAGAAGCAGAATAGCAAGAAGACTGCATGCACGTAAACAGAAGTGGAGTTGTGAAGAATTAGGCATCAAATACAAATGGACCCTGCATTCTGACCCTGGCTTGTCCACATTCTAATTGAGCACCTTCAAGCTTACGATTGTTTATCTCTTAATTTTCCTTGAATAGCCGTGAACATATTTCAAATAATGTATGTTTAATACTGTCATTATATCTGATCTGTTATGCTTTTTCAAAAATATCTGCCATGTTGTAGTTATTCAATAAATTGAAGATTTTATTATTATTATGTATTGTAGTAATATGTGATTGTCCTAGGCTGGGTTCTCTAGAGAAGGAAAACCAATAAAGCATATAAAGATACACAGAAAGAGATTTACGTCAAGGAAACAGCTCATGTGATTGTAGAGGCTAGAACATCCCAAGTCCGTGGATCAGACTAGAGGCCTGTCCCAGTTCATGCAGCCACAGAAGCTGGCAAGCCCAAGATCGGCAGGTTGGAGAGCAGGGCTCCCACTCACAGGCTGTGAAGGTCGATGAATTCCAAGATTCGCAGGCAAGACCACAAGGTTTCTCCTGATTCACGTAGCTGCAGGGGCTGCTGAACCCAAGATCAGCAGGTCAGAGAGCAGGGCTTCACTCACAGGCTGTGAAGATCTATGAATCCCAAGTTCATCAGGTAGACTGACAGCTGAAGTCCGAAGAACCAGAGGTGAGACAACAGGAGGCAGCCGCAGAATCCAGAGTGAGCAAAAAGCCAGAACGTCTGCTTATATTCAGATGCAGGCCACACCCCCAAGGAAACTCCCTTTCATCTGATTGGCTACTCACAGCCTATTCAGTCTTGGAAATGATCACATATAAACACTGAAAATCATGGGCTAGCCAAGTTGACACATAATCTTAACTATCACAGTGATCATATGTGTCAGCAAAAAAAGGACCATCAACGAGATGGATTGGCACAGTGGCTTCAATAATGTGATCAAAGACCACAGCCTTCAGTGTGGATTGCTCCTCAACATAAAACTCACAACTGGACAAATAAGCAACATCATGGTAAACGGAAAAAAGGTTGAAGTCAAGAACTTCATTTTATTTGTATTCACAATCGACGCCCATGGAAGCAGCAGTCAAGAAATCAAATGTTTCATTTCATTGGGCGAATCTGCTACAGAAGACCTTTTTTAAGTGTTAAAAACCAAAGATGTCACCTTGAGGATTAAGGTGCTCCTGACCCAAACCATGGCCAAACCATGGTGTTTTCAATGGCCTTGTATGCATGTGTACGCTGTTCAATGAATAAGGAAGACCTAAGAAGAATTGATGCCTTTGGATTATGCTGTTGGTAAAGAATATTGAATATACCATGGACTGCCAAAAGAATGAACAAATCTGTTCTGGAAGTACAGTGAGAATGCTCATTGGAAGCAAGGATGGCAAGACTTTGTCTCACATACTTCAAACATGTTATCAGGAGGGACCAGTCCCTGGAGAAGGACATCATGCTTGGTAAAGTAGAGGGTCATCAAAAAAGAGGAAGACCCCCAATAACATCGATTCACACAGTGCAACAATGGGCTCAAGCATAACAATGATTGTGAGGATGCTACAGGACTGAGCAGTGTTTCATTCTGTGGTACATGAAGTCTCTGTGAATCGGAACCGACTCATCGACCCTTAACAACAGCAGTGTGTGTTAGGATTTTTCACGACTTTGAAACATATAACCTGGTTCCCTGCATTGGAGACTTTTGAGTTTTGCTTGAGATTGGAAACTTGTTTTAACACCATCGTATCAGGAATGATTGGAGATAACATAGGCAGATCATATCACCTACATCTCTGGGAAGAAGAGCCTTCCTGTTATGCAGCTGCTCAGCTGTTGAGTCCAGTTTTAGCATCAAAAATGTTATGTAGCAGCCTTTCGTCTCCTCACCGCATGTGGAGGCCAGTATGTTGAACCTGTTTCTCAGAGTCTAGTCCTTAGTGGGACCCTACAGTTCAGGTGATTTCAGAAATCAGGGTTCAAGTAATCGTATGCTCATGTGCCTTTTATGGACTGCCAGCATAAAAAATTTTGAAATAGAAATTCCACGGGGCAGGTGTGTCCGTTACTTATAATTCTTGGGCAGTTTAACTGGTAAACCCTGTGCACTTCAATTAATTTCTTTACAAAATGGGAATCTTAACCTATTCATGGTCAGCAAATACAAGGCCATGCTATTAAGCCCTTTGAGATACAAGGGTTGTAAAATTGGCTTTGGGCTATCGTGAACAATGCTCAAAGCCAATTTTACAACCCTTGTATTTCTAAAGGGCTTTCTAAGGAGGCGCCATATCATTTTCCAAAATCGTATCATTTTGCATTCCCACCAGCAGTGCATAAGGGTTCCGATCTCCCTGCAGCCCCTCCAGCATTTTTTTCCAGTGTTTTTGATTCGTGCCAGTAATGCTGGGGTGAGATGGTATCTCTTTGTGGTTTTAATTTGCATTTCTCTAATGGCTAGTGATCGCAATCATTTCCTCGTGTGTCTGTTGGCAGCTTGAATGTCTTCTTCGGTGAAGTGTCTGTTCATTTTCTTTGTCTATTTTTTAATAGGATTATTTGTCTTTTTGTTGTAGAGGTGTTGGATCTTCTTGTAGATTATGGAGGTTAGACTTTGTCTGACTTGTACTGTCTAAAATTTTTTTCTTAGTCTGTAGGTTCTGTTTTTACTCTTGGTGAATTCTTTTGAGGAGCATAGGTTGACATGTCAAGGGGTTAACCAATGTCATAAAACAACATGTGTACTACTGTTTAATGAGAAACTATTCTGTAAACCTTCACCTAAAGTACAGTAAATAAAATAAAAATTATAAAAAAAATCCCATGGAACCTAGTCAAAGCAATTAAACAAGGTTTTGTCAAGGAAAAAAAAATTGGCTTTGGGGCAGTGTCTGATTTCTTCCAACCCCACATGAGGGAAGGAGAACCAAGATCAACAGCCCAAGGCTGATTCCTGTGAGGTGGAGGTCTGACAAGCCCATTCTCTCCACCATCCTTACCAACTCTGAAACCAATCATCCCTCCCACAGCACTCTACTGGGTTCAAAATTCATCATGATGGCTACACAGAACTCAGAGACTCTACTCACAATTATAGAGTTTGTTTTAAGAGAAGTAACAGTTACAGTTCAGGTTGAAGAACTCTCAGGATACAGTTCTTCAATCAGGATAGCCTCTCCCAGCTGTGCTCACAGGCATACTTCTCCCTGGCCCTCAGTCTGCCCAAAGGCACTCAGCTTTCTCTCTCTTTTGGCCAGAAAGCCCACCACAGGGTCTTCTGCTGCTGGGTCTCTCCTGCTGGTGGCTCCTTCCTTAGGGGTGGTGGGCTCCTCTCTTTGCTCTTGAATTGGCTCTCTAATGCAAAACTGACCAATCCCTTTGGTAGGTCACGATTACCCCATCACACAGTCACCTGGGTGGGAGTTACAAGACCATGGCTAGAAAGACCACACCCAAAAGTAATCCACCGCAGTGGTTATTATCATCTGAATACATTAGAGCATGTTTATGTGGGTTTCTTGGTGTACATTCTTAGAGTGGTTGCTTATAATTGGATTAAAAGTTTGACAGTTGTGTGAACATCTAGAATTTCGTGTTCACTGTTTCTGACCGGTGCTCTGTTAACTTTTCAATCACCTTGCGTATTTCCATGAAAGAGAGAATAACAGTGCAGCTTTTAAAGTATTAAAAAATTGGTAACAGACATGTAAAAATTTATAATTAGAATATTCGTTTTTTGTCAGGTGGTCTTGTCACTGCTGTTGACCAGAGTTACCAGTTTTTTTGGTAGGCCTGTCATGGCTGTTGAGGGACACAAGGAAAAACCACTAGTCCGTCAGTGTTTCCTGGATTATCCTGCTAGTTTTATTGAGTGTTCTGGTGGGTCTTACGGAAGGCAGTAAAATTATTTTTTCCCACAAAGAGATGATTATCTGAATGTGGAAATAGCCCTTTCATTTGTAGAGGGTTTCTCTCTTTTCTGCTTTAGTTCTGGGTTTTCTGGAACATGGATATACAGAGAAATGAGGCGGGAATTGGTCAGTGTCAAACTGGACAGAAAGGTTCAGTGTTTCAGAAATATATTGTTAAACCTATGAGATAGGATGCTAAAAATCAGGATGTAAATGTAGACAGCAAAAGGAAGAGCCTAATGGTCAAACTCTAGAGTAGAACACAGAGAGTTCTGTGACTTTTCTGTGAATTCTGTGGTCCCCTGCTCTAATAACCTCGCTTGAGATTTCACACACATTGTGGAAGATGATCCCTTGCTAATCCAGAGTATGTGGGTTATTTTAGGACTCAGTGGTGTTTGAGGATGTGGCCGTGAACTTTACCCAGGAAGAGTGGGCTTTGCTGAATTTTGCTCAGAGGAAATTCTACAGAGATGTGATGATGGAAACCTTCAGAAACCTGGCCTCAGTTGGTAAGGAGGATTTCGGTTTTCTTTCTTTTTCAATAGTGAATGAAAGTATTGTACTCCTGGACCTTGTTTCAAGGTTTAGGTTGAGGAAGGGGAATACATTGGAACACCTGACAAACATTCACTTCCCTCATGGAGCTTAGTCTATTGAGTGTTTTCCCTGAATGCAAAAATCTGCACATTAAACTGAGTTTGTATTTGTCTTTTGTTTAAAAGCTTTGAGGGTCTTTAAGTGTTGTAAATGTGCTCATTGGCTTGAGCGGTCACTTTGGACACAGATTTGCGGATTAGTACCTCATTAGAATTTTACCATATTTTTTACAAATTTGGTATAATTACTTTGTGGCAAATAAACTCATAACAGTCCGTCTATAGAGACTCTGGTGGCCAAAACATTGGCTCAATGTCAGGGAAATTTTGCTTTCCAGTGTCTTCCCTCATGATCTGCCATCCCCCATGAACACCGTGTCACCTAAACTCACTTGTTCTCCCAGGGAAAGACCTAAGGAGAATTGAGTTAGTCCTTCCTTATTCAGAGCCATGGTGTCAGGATGCACCAGGAAGACAAGAATCCTTTGAAGGATGAACCCTGCATGGAGGGAATTACATTTGAATAAGTCAACTTGAAAAAGTTTTGGTTTGAGGAGGCTAAACTTCCACATATACCTGAGCTTATTATTATTACTGTTTCCCTCTCCATCAGTTTTCTCACACCTTCTTTATCCATGAGACAGATCTTCCCCACTTCTCTTTTAACATTATCATTGCACACATGCATTGTTTCTAGTACCTTTCTATTATGCTTTCCTGAATACTCTATTTATGACACTGTCATCTTCAATCATCAAGAAATAATTGAAATTATTTTTTTAGTAAATTGCTTACCCTTTCGACCATTGCCAAAGTAGTAGAACATCAGTACGCCTCAATGTCATTCTTTGCTCTTAGGTGCCTTGTTCCTTATTTTAAAAAGCTCCTTAGCATTCTGTTTCATGTTGTGAAATTGAACTTAAAATTATTGTATCAGTTTCTCAACAGGTTGATAAAGGACAAATGGTGTCCACTGACCATTTAATAATGCGATTCATAAAGAATAACTTCCGGTATACCATGTTAGGAGAAGCTTGTGAATTCCACGGCGTTAAAGAACAGTGTAACAACAAACACAGGCATATGACGTGAGTATCATTCACATGAGCATGAACAGGACCTCACTAGTGTGTCGGGAGGTATAACATTTATATGTGTGTGTATAAAACTAACTAAAATTCTGTGTTCACATAATTTCACAATGTTATGTTTTCATAAATATGAATGAGATAATGAGTATTTGAAACATATTTCACTTGTATAGAATTATAAAGCACCATTATTTAGAAAGAATGTGATGGTAATGGAATTGACTTCTAGTAGACGGTATACCCTATTCAAAGTGAGATGACTCAGAACAGAAAACATACGTATTGATTGTGTACTATAATTTTATGATAACAAAATTCAAGCAACATGCTGTCCCTTTTTGACAGATGGCATACAGATGAGAGCCTCCATGAAAGTAATGAATGGAAAGAAAAGGAAAGGAAAGAAGGTAATCAGTGTGGAAAACTTTTCAGCAAGATTGCGTGTCTTACCAGGCTCAAGAAAACTGTTACTAATGAAAATCCTTCTAAATGCTGTAAACGTGCAAAACCTTTAAAGTATCATTCTTCATTTAAACATCACATCAGATCTCACACTGGATGCAGTACCTATCAGTGTAAGGAATGTGGAGTGGCCTGCAGTAGTTCCTCTTGCCTGAGCACTCACGTAAAAACTGTTACTGTAAAGAATATTTATAAATGTAAGGAAAGTGGCATCACTTGTTCCTCATCCTTCAATACACATGAAAGAACTCATGGTAGAGACAGGCCTAATGAATATAAGGAATTCAAGAAAGCTTTTGGTCAGTTCTCAACCTTCATTGAACATAAAAAAATTCAAAGTGGAAGGCAACATTATGATCATAAGGAATATGTGAATACCTGTAGTTCTTCATCATCCCTCAGTAAACATATTAGCATTCACAGTGGAGTGAGGTCTTATGAATGTAAGGAATGTGGGAAAGTGTTTACTTGTGCCTCATACCTTACTACACATAGAAGAATTCACAGTGGTGAGAGGCCTTATAAGTGTAAGGAATGTGGGAAAGCCTTACGTTATTCCTCATCTTTCAGTAAACATAAAAGAACTCACACGGGAGAGAGGCCTTATGAATGTAAGGAATGTGGAAAAGCCTTCAGCTGTGCTTCACACCTCACTACACATTTAAGAACTCACAGTGGAGAGAGGCCTTACGAATGTAACGAATGTGGGAAAGCCTTTAGTTGTTCCTCATCTCTCACTACACATACAAGAACTCACAGTGGAGAGAGGCCTTACAAATGTAAGGATTGTGGAAAAGCCTTTAGGCAGTCCTCAAACCTATTGAATCATATAAGAACTCACAGTGGAGAGCGGCCTTATGAATGTAAGGAATGTGGGAGAGCCTTTAGCCAGTCCTCACACCTGATCAATCATATAAGAACTCACAGTGGAGAATGGCTTCATGAATGTAAGGAATGTAGGAAAACCTTTAGCCAGTCCTCACACCTGATCAACCATATGAGAACTCACAGTGGAGAGTGGCCTTATGATTGTAAGAAATGTGGGAAATCTTTTTGTGACTTCTCCAACTTCTCTAGACATATAAGAACTCACAGTGGAGAGAGGCCTTATAAATGTAAGGAATGTGGAAAAGCCTTTACACAGTCCTCATCTCTCAGTCAACATAAAAGAACTCACAGTGGAGAGCGACCTTATGAATGTAAGGAATGTGGGAAAGCATTTAGCCGGGTTTCAAACCTCACTAGACATATAAGAACTCACAGAGGAGAGAGGCCTTATGAGTGTAAAGAATGTAGGAAAGCCTTTAGTTTGCGCTCAGCCCTCACTAGGCATATAAAAACTCACAGTGGGGAGAGGCCTTATGAATGTAAGGAATGTGGGAAAGCATTTATCCGGTCCTCAGCCCTCACTACACATATAAGAATTCACAGTGGAGAGAGGCCTTATGAATGTAGGGAATGTGGGAAAGCATTTAGCCAGTCCTCATCTCTCACAACACATACAAGAACTCACAGTGGAGAGAGGCCTTATGAGTGTAAGGAATGTGGGAAAGCCTTTAGTCACGCCTCATCTTTCACTCACCATATAAGAACTCACAGCAGAAAGAGGTCTTAACGAATGTACAAAGTGAGGAAACATTTTCAGTTCTCTCTCCTACTTGAAAATACGTTAGAAAGTACATTGAGGAGAAATATATATTGCACGTATGACAGGTCCTATCAACGTCAAAAACAAGGGAAGCCTTCAGTGTGAGTACTTCTTTTGGACCTGTATAATACCTCACACTGGAGAGACTCGGGGACTAGAAGCAAAGAATGTCTTCGTTTGTACCACATAACTTTGGATGAGTATCAAAATGTAAATTTGGTTCTGATATATAAAAATTGCCTGTAATACACAATCTCGTCAACCTCTGTTCTAAGTTTTGTGTTTTTTTTACTCCACTATGTTTTTAATATTTTTATTAATAAATTTTCATATTATAAAGCAGTATGTTCTCGATGTAGAGAAATTGGATTTTAACAGAAATTTGGGAGGAAAAGCAAAAATCACTCAGAATTCCACCATTCTCGTTATTTTGTGTATTTTAGCCTGCTTTGTATGCAAAGCAGTCATTTCCTAAAGAATCTGGCTTATACATCATGTGTACTGTTGTACTGAACTTTTTTGGTTGTTTAAAATCTTCCACAACTACTCTGATCTTTTATGAATGCGAAAATTGCACAGAAAATTTTAACTCACATCCCACCATTTCACAAAAATGTCCCTCTCAAATGGTGCTGTGAGAAGCAGGATTTTCATTGAAGGAGGGCTCACATTGAAGATACATGGAAATGGTGGACCTGCATAGACCTACAACCTGCTCTAAATTAAATGGAACTTGTGGCCAGCTCAGTCCTCCTTTTGGTAATATTGTTCAAGAAGAGTGCACTAGGCCAGGAGTTGAGGCTGCAGTTGCTGGACTGGTGGCTGTTTCTGTACCTGGGATACATACCCACTATGAGGCCTGGAGGTTTATACAGAGCTCCTCTGCCCCACGGTGAACTGGGATCTTCTTGACTTCTCATGTAAGTGGCTTGGGAAATGATGGCTATAGGTAGCAAAAGCCTTCAAATTAGGCCGCCCATTGGACCAATTGCCCTTTCAGAATCACTTTTTGCAAATTCTTGGGCACCGTAATGGTGTACCTTGATAATAGTGCTACATTGTGGAAATAGTAAAAAAGAAGAGAAATGGTGTCAGTGTCCCAACAGGAAGGGAGTTTTTAGATAAATGCCGCGCCACATGTCACAGTGTTGTACTGCAACTAAATGAATTTCTTCAGAAAAATTTATTCCACAGTAGGTAAAGCAATCACAGTTTAACGTGTGAAGCATGGGTATAGAAGTATGTACATAATGATGGCCGTTTTATAAAAAATTTATATATGCAGACAGGTCAGCTTGTAGAGATTTGCTGTAAAGGTGCGACTAAGTAATTTCTTTAGTCGTAGGACCACTACTACAATGAAAATATAAAACAGCTTCCTCTATGCAAAAAATTCCCTAGTGCTGCCACTTTAGGCATGAATCTCTGGCACTAGTTCATATACATGTCATACTTTACGTATTTTTTAGATTCTGGCTCCTGTTGGTGTCAGTGAGTTTCAGATTCATCCATGTTGGCGAATGTATTGACGGTTCCTTTTTATTGTTGTATGTTGTATAGACCTACCACAGTTCATATATTCATCAGGTTAAGAGTGTTTGAGTTTCCACTTTTTTATTCTTTGGCTTTTTGAATAAAACTGCAATAAACATTTACGTAGTGGGTTTATGTGAATGTAAAGTTTCATTTTTCTCATCTGTATCTGTATAAGTTGGATTGGCGTGTCATAGATGTATGATTACCTGTATCAGAAACTTTCAATCTGTTTCTCAAAGGGGCTGTGCCATTTCATATTCCACCAGCAGTGTATAATTGCAGTTGCTAGGATCTGGAGAGGCTGCTTCCACAGCAATAAAACACACTTCTGATTGCCTCTGTTTTCAGAGGAGGGATTTGCGTTGGCAGCTCACCTGATAGGCATTCCACATTTGTGAGGATAGTATGTGGAATGTAGCACCTGGATTAGTCCCTTCTTGCAGTGTCCTTTATTGTCCTCCATATGTTCGTAACTGGCAGAAGAGTGAAGTAAAGCCCAGCTCCATTACCACAGATCAGGGGAAAATTGTGTATTTGCCGCAGAAGGAATAAATTGACAGCCAGGACAATAGTCAATATGTGGCTTTTGTTTTTCGTCAGTGATAAACCAGCTCCTAGCACTGCCAAGCTTGTCTTGGTGCCCAACCTTTTCCCCTTTCCCATGGGAACTTAAGGTGTCTGCCTCTGTGCCTGCCTGCCTCTCCTACAAACTCTAAATATCTTCTTTGACATCAATGTACTGAAAAGGCAACTCTTCGTGACTCCAACCAACTGGAACAATGCCTAATCTAATAAGTGAAAGGTGCTAAAATGATGCAGAGCATAGGAAGTGCTGTACTTACAGTTTTAATATAGCAGAAAGGATACAAATCAGGACCAGCATAAAGCAGAGCCACATATGGTGAGATTTTGCAGGATGTAAATGCAGAGTTCCCATGTCTCATGCCTACTTCTTCCATCCTCCCTTGTATAGGCATGCCTCGGAGATACTGAGGGTTCAGTTCCAGACCACAGCAATAAAGCAAATATTGTAATCAAGTGATTCATGCAAATTTTCTGGTTTCCCAGTGCATGTAAAGATTACATTTATACTATATTGTAGTCTATGAACTGTACAATAGCATTAAGTTTAAGAAAAATAACATACATACCTTAATTAAGACATACTTTATTGCTAATGAATGCTAACCATCATCTGAGCCTTCAAAGAGTTGTAATCTTTTTTTCCTGGTATAGATTCTTGCCTAGGTGTTGATGGCTGCTGAATGATCAGGGTAGTGGTTGCTGAGAAGGTTGGGGTGGCTGTGGCCATAACATAAGACAACAATGAAGTTTGCCGTATTGGTTGACTCTTCTTTCAGAAAGATTTCTCTGTAGTATGTGATGCTGTTTGATACCATTTTGCCCACAGTAGAACTTCTTTCAGAATTGGAGTCAGATGACTTCTAGGCAACATGGTGATATAGTCAGAAGCACCACGCCGTCCCTCCGCAGCAAAGATCAGAAAAACTAAATCAGAGCCACACGTCAATCCTGAAACCCTAAGCATCAAAGGAAAAAATAAAGAACTCAGCCAAGCACTGAATAGAATAAGAAACTGACCGAGAACAGAGAGCGAGGAGAGATGCATGCAGAGGTCCCCAATCAGCTACCGCAGCAAGGATCTGCCATCTTGGACTCCTATCGGAGATCAGTTAACGGGGTATGAGAAAGCAGCTTCATGGAGCTTCCAGCAGGAGACAGAACAACTGGTAACCAGCGATATAGGCTTTCCCAACCCCTACCCTTCTTCACCCCCACTTAGCTCCTCTGCTTCCTGCAGCCACAGTTTCTTCACCAGGAAACACCAGCTTCACCCTGATATCCCTTGGATTCCACCCGCCTGCACTGGCCAACTCCTTGAGTCAGCCTTTTGTTGGCTGCTGGTGTTGCTTTTTTCTGCTTTAGATTTCTTCCTTACCTCTCACCACCTCCCCCTCCTTTCTCTCAAATACCTGGCTCCGTGTGCCATCTTCCTGAAAGGCTGCAAAACACCGCTTGACTATGAAACTGCTTCCCGGGCCGTGCTGCCACAATGGAGGGACCCCCGGGGCTTTTTTATTTGTTGCCACTGGTTTGTTGTGTTTTGACTTTGTTTCTTTTTTTTCCCTCAGCTTGGGAGCCCCTTCTAGCCCGGCAGAACTGCGTGGCTTGGAAGCTGCTCCCTTACTCTGCACAGATGCACAAGGACATCCCTGGGGGCATTTTTCTTGGTTTTTTTTTCTTTTTGTTTTTTTGTTTCTTCGTTTTCTTCTCTCTCTTATTCTCTTTTTGTCTTTCTTCATTTCCACTTTCTCTATTATTTTTTTCTTTTACCCTTTTTGTTTTATTTTTGTTTTTCCTCATTTCTCAGTCTCATCTCTCCACTCCAATAGCAAGCTCCCTTAGCACTCTTTTTTGTTTGTGTGTATGCTTTTGGCCGCTCTTCCTCTCTCCTCTCTCTCGTCTTTCCCATACCCATCTTAGCTACACACATCACAATCTACCCCCTCCTTCCTACCTACCTGCACCGTGCGCTGAACATCGCACTCCCAAGCAGCACAGACATGGCCTACTGGAACCTGCCTTGCACTGATTCCTGGTTCACACTGTCAGCCGTGTTAAGTGCCACAAACAACCCATTCCACCAACTCCCTTCAGCTGGACCTGCTCTGCTGTACCATACCTGAGTGACTGACCCTGCCCATTGGAGAAGGATGTGAAAAGTATTGTGCCCACAGATGAGCAAACAACAAAGAATGCACAGCCCGCCTGCTCAGACAACCAAATAAAAAAAAAGTAGGACAAAATGAATCTATAATTAATAGATGATTAAAATAACTACTGAAAGCCCCGAAGACAGCAGCTAATATCAAAACATTTACAAATCAGGACAGGATGGTTCCAGTAGGCATCCAAAATAAAACACCAGATGACCTTCCAGTAGAAGAAAAGGCACTAGACCAAACTGATAGGGAATTCAAATCTCTCATATTCAGAATTATCCAAGACTTGAAGCAAAAAGCAGACCAAAATGAGGAAAAAGACAAATTCATGGAAAATGCAGACCCAAAATGGGAGAATTCAAGAAAATAATACAGGATCAAAATGCTAAAATAATTTTACAACTAGAAACCATACAAAAACAACAGAAATCCAGAAAAGATTTCAGAAATGGACAGTGTCACAGAACGGCTGAGGACCAAGTTTGAAATGATGTAAGATAGGATCAACGAAATTGAAGACAAACACTTGGTTACAACTCTGAGGGGGAATCAGAAAAAAGAACAAAGAAAAATGAAGAAACCCTGAGAATTATGTGGGATACAATCCAAAGCAAAAATCTATGAGTGATTGGAGTTCCAGAATGGGGAGAAAACAGAAAACACAGAGAGGATCATTGAAGAATTGCTGACAGAAAATTTCCCCAATATCTTGAAAGATGATAAGCTGACCAAGAACCTCAACGAACCCCATATAGGATAAACCCCCCAAAACAAAATCACCAAGGCATATCATAATCACATTTGCTAAAACCAAAGACAAAGTATCCTGAAAGCAGCTTGAGGAAAACAAAGTCACATATAGGAGAAACAAGACTAATCTCGGATTATTCAGCAGAAACCATGCAGGCAAGAAGGCAATAGGATGACATATATAAAACCTTGAAAGAAAAAACTTGCAAGCCAAGAATAATATATCCTGAAAAACTCTCATTCAAATATGATGGTGAAATTAGGACATTTCCAGAAATTAAGAGACTATGTAAAAACCAAACCAAACTTACAAGACTTATTAAGGGGAGCCCTTTGATCTGAGAACAAACAAC